TGTGAGATCTCTATCATTAAGAACTGGAGGTGCTGATTTGACACGTATTGCTGGTGGACGAGAATCCACTGGAGTTAGGGGAGGGTCGTTTGGGTAATGGATGGAGGCTAACTAAATTAGAATTTTTAGAAGCATATATGCTATTAGAGAAATATTATGCTCAAAAACCAAAGTAAGGTTTAGTGAATAAAAATCTAAAATTTAATCGTTCATTAATCTATAGATACAGTATCGACATATATATATATATATATATATATATATATATTCATTATATTCCTTTTAATAATAGTCCGGTTACCGGGAATTTAATCCACGATGTGGATATAATGCAAAAAGCTCAGAGATATTTAAAATTTTCAATGGCATCATATGTAAGTAATTAAAGTTTGTCAACTATAAGTATTTGTTTATTTGAAAAATGGATTGATCATAATTTTAATCGTATAGGGATCTTTTTTGTTTCATTGGTTCGGATATGGACATAATATGGCACCATTAAGTACATAATTTTTTTTATTAATATTATGTGTCATTGATTATAATATGATTTATTATGTATATTATTCTTAACTTATTATATAATATAAATGTTTATTGTAGGTGCTATTAGAATGAATTCTGACAAAAGGATTGTACAGGATTTTTTTGGCCTTGATAAACAAGATTTCATTTGTTGGGAGTATGGTCAAAATGCAGTTTCGGTACCTAGTTACATGGTAATTAGAGATCCAGAAACAAACTCTATTATTGTATCTATCCGAGGAACTATGGTAATATTTATATACATATATATATATATATTTAATTATATTTAAATAAAAATTTATTTGTTAATTATCAAAATCTTTTATAGAATGTTGCTGATGTAATTACCGACGCTCTAGCACGTTATGAACCATGGAATGGTGGTCTTGTTCATCGTGGAGTATTGCGTAGTGCACAATATCTTGTAGATCGTTCCTTAAATGATATTAAAGCAGCCGTAGCAAAATTTAATGTAGATTCCATAGAAGTAATAGGTCATTCACTAGGTGCATCTATATCATCTATTGTAACACTTCTTTTACGAGAAAAATGTAAAGATTTAATTTTAAGTGGAATTGATATTCGTGCATGGAATTTCGCAACTGCACCATGCTGTTCTTATGATTTGGCATGTAAATCTGAGACTTTGAATTATATTTATAATTTTGTGAACGAAAATGACGTTATTCCGAGGTTGAGTTATGGTAATTTAATGGATTTTAAAGAGTTGGTTAAGTTTGCTGCTAATGAATTGAAAAATGATGAATATAAAAAGGTATGTAAACATTTTATTTGCACAATAATACTTTTAAGTTTAATTAATCTTTTTAACTTATAAATATTTATATAAATTTCTGCTTATTCAAACTTTCGCTCTTTTTGTCTCTAAATTGTTACTATGATAGTTAAAAACATCTGAAAGATTATCTAAAATGTTCTTAACAATCGACGCTTATCGTAAAACTTTAAAATCCAATCCAACTTCTAGTCAAAAGTTATATATTCCCGGAACAATATATTATTTATATAAAGGGCTTTCTCGTTCTTCTACGAAATCATCATTAGTATATTATACTAAAGATATAGTGTGTGAAAAATCCACTCCAGATTTATTTACAGACATTAGTTTACGACGGAACTGGCTATTTCATCATTTTCCAGATAGATATGATAAAAAATTTAAAGGCGTTATAAAATTTTTGTTAAAAAGAATTAATGAAGAAGAAATTGATAAGGTAGAACATTTTTGGAGGAAATGGAGAAAAATGGATGAAATCGAGTGTGTATCAGAAGAAGGTGGAGGTCGGATGGAAAAATGGATGTCTAGAATTGGACATTGTTAAAATTTTGGATTTTTATTGTAAGATAGAGTTGTATATGTATATATATTATTTAGGTTTATTTATTTGTCATATTACTTGTGGTTTACATGTATTATTAGCTTCATTGTGTACGGTATCTGGTATTAATGTATAAAAACTATTCCTCATATAGATTATGGAGGTTTTTTGATTACAAATTTAAGAATCAAGTCTTACAACTTAATCATTTTCCTGCGTGTTTTTATAATAATAAACTATGATGATATCTATGAAATTTATATTATCTTTTTATAAAGTAAATATATAGTTAGGTTTTTTTACTATATAAATATGAATCTTTTTTTTTTTTTTTTTTTTAATAAAAAATAGCATCCCAAGACATTAATCTTAAAGGCCTTGGTTAAAATTATTGTGCATGTGTTTAACTATTCAAGTATATAATAAGTGTTGGAAATTTCAGATCTAAATACTGTTCTCATGAAAACAAAATACCGTAATACTTATTGGTGTTCTCAAACATTATATTATGTTCACATACATAAAAAATAACAACTACATAAATCAGAAAATTAAATAGGAGTATATGTAGATAAAAACTTTTAAAGGTTGCTAAATTTAGATTAGAGATTGGAATCGATGACTAATTATTCGATCATCGATCAAAAATTTCGAGCATCGAAATAAGCTTTCATTCAGAGTTTTTAATTCGGTTATCATCCAGCATCAGTGAAAGTTAAAATTTAACTAATTGTTTTGATGTACATTTTTTGATTGAAATTTAACAGTGTTTTTGATA